TATTTGTAATGTTTATGGTTGTAATAACCTCTGAATTGAAAGAAAAACTTGTCAAATACCCAGACTCTTTTATGATTCTGTAGGCGGTGATTTTAACGAGTGTGTTGACGGCACACACTCTGTCAAAGTGTGTTTTGGGGCGATTGGTTGTGCCCTGTTGATGTGACGTTATTTATTCAAAATTTGACTACCGGTGAGTGTTGTTTGAAAGAGTGTTATTTTGTTTTCAATGAGATACTGATACTTTCAAAAGCCAGTATATGATACCCCATAATCTTAACTTTTAAATGAATACATTTATTAAATTATTAAGAGTAAAATGGGTAATGATACCCATTTAATATTTTATTTGAAAGTCATTTAACATTCAAGATACCTTATAGATTATATTTTAGTTTACACATGGTTAAAATATATTTACTGTAGTAGTAACCATGGAAATCTACAAAAACTATGGTCACTGTATAGTAAAACCATGGTTCATTTTTTAAAAGGGACTGCCAGTTGCACCCATAAAATAAAACTTTTTTATTCTGACAGTGAAGAACATGGTCAATATGAACTTTAATGTTCAATTGAAATAAACTATAGGCTAAAATGTCAATTTGTCTATTGTGAAATAACTCAAACATATTATGTTTTTCTGTCCTCTGATAAGAATGGTTCTTGACTTTGTTTCACAAAAGCATCGATGGTTTCTTATGATACTTTTGGGAAACGCAGCCCTGTTTGAATGCAGTGTCAGCAGTGAGCGAACGCTCTCTGTGTGTTCAGATGAGCAGAAAAATTGTTATTCGTCCAATTCAGTGCATGTTGTATGTATTAAATGTCTTGTTAAATGAACAAAATCACATGCAAAAAAACGCCTTAGTATCAATATTTTTTTTATTTGAGTATTGATACTTTCGGTACTCAGATCAGTATCGATATATCGATACTTCAGTATTAATAAGCCCATTCCTAATGCATTGCACATTAGCTGTGCGCTTGAGAGACAGACAGCATTGGCTTTTATTCTCACAGATCTCATCAGCTTTAAACAAATTATGTAAAAAAAAGTAATTTATATTTATCTTAATTCATTTAATTCATACTTTTATTCAAAGCAACAAGTGATAAGTACAAGTGCATGGTCATATAAGGAATCAGAAGTTGAAATTAAAAGTTGTCCGCCACAGTTTGTGTTGTATGACTTCACAAGTTGCATTTGGTCCTTTCACGATGCTTTTCAAATCTTTTGAGGATAGCTGTGCGTGAATTAGTAGCAGTAGACCACTGTTTTTCTTCCCATTATGATAGACTTAGATAGAAAATACAAAGTTGCTGAAATGGATATTCGTATCATTCAGTGTGTGTCTGGCTAGTTAAATTTGCCAAATAATTTGCATATTCCACAAATTTTCTTAAGCTTTTTCTCATGTCATAATTTCCACATCTGATGAACACGAGTAACACCACCACACCTGCAAAACTCTGGGGTATCTAGTTCCTTCTCCTCTCTTACATTTTTGCATCTCAGTTTTGTACATTTTCTCAGGCTAGGCATACAAACATTTTGTGTAGAACAAGAGTAGACAAGTTTGGTCCTAGAGCCGCTGTCCTCATAGGCGGAGGGTGAACCAACTCCAGGGTAAGGCTAAAAGCAGCCAAATGTATTAAACATAATAAACCCGTCTTTTTAGGCAAGAACCAGACATGGGTGTCATGTAGGCTAAAAAAAAGTGTTTAATGGGACTGAATTTGTATTTAACATGATTACAATTTAATAAAAACATTAGAAATGGATAATTATATAACGTTTCCTTTCCACGGTTATTCAAACAGCGAATAAATT